TAAAATGGAAGTCAAAATAGTACTTACCTCATAGGGCCATTGTAAGGATCAAATTAGTTGTTATACACAAAACAGTTGTATCAGTACCTGCTACAGAGCCAGCACTAAATCAGTGCTTATTTATTTACATATAGAATAGCCTAAGTGATGTTAAATGCACACAGGTACACAATACAAAGCTACTATTTTATATTAACATAGATACATATGCAAGCACGCAGAAAAAGGCCTATGAACATACAGATCAAAATGATACTAATGTGCAACTATGGGCATTAAAGATGATCGTTTGCTTTTCGTTTGAGTATTTTACAGACAGCATATCAATCATACATTATTTCTGTGATTAAATTTTAAAAACTTTTACCCATCTATTAATTTTAACCATAAAATAGTGGATATTACATTCATTAGCTAATTGACATAGAAAAATGTTCACGCACATATTGTTAAATGCAAACAAGCAGATCAAAAGATAATAAGTATTAACTGTATTGATAGGAGCTCATTTATATAAAATTATGTGTTTGTATTTGTGTGTGGAATGACAATGTCAGTGGCTAACCTGGTTAGGTGATTTCTACTTCTTTAAATATAGATACATGTACATATTACTCTACATAGATACATCGATCCATTATTTTTTAAGAAACACTGTAAGAGCTACTTTACTGTGAAAAAAGGAAAGTGACAGTGAGGCTAGCTAATTATAGCATCATGCAACATCTTTCATTGAAAATGCATACGTCCAGAGCACAGCCAAATACCACTGATGAAGGAATGAATTAGAAACTTTATGAATGCACTTACCCACCAAACGCCTGGAGTGCAGAGAATTTGGAAGCATCCAAATCATGGCCACTTACTATTCGAGCCTTAAATAAAAAACGAGAAAAAACAAAAGAAAACAAACAGACTTTTAGCACACTGTAGCTGTGTATGGGGGGACTTGGGACATGGGTCAACTGCACTAGACACATAACACCTAGTATGACAGATGCTAAGCAGGGTCAGCTCCAAGTCAAAGCTATTGTGTTTTGTGGGTGGAGGTTTTGAAATTAGCTGTTAGCATTTAAACAAAAGCACTGGCAGAGTCCAGGAAAATATATCATATTCAAAATACTATTTGCCCTTAAAACTGGATATGTGCAGCGAAGATCATGGATCAGTCATGGAGATCATGATTAGCCAGACATAGGAACAGATGCTGAGTTTGACCGCAGCAGACCCCTAGGTTGGCAAGTGTAAGCTAAAGTAAGCGCAGCTGGCAAGGGGTAACCTCTTCATAAATGCAACATATTGGGGGCACAGTTAAAGGACAACCAAAGAATGGAAAGCTGGGATAACATGCACATTTCACAACTAAAACAGAGGAACCGAAACAGGTCTAATATGTCACAAACAAACATGTACAAAAGACAAGATCCCTCAGGAGGGAAGAAAAAGTATGATTTAAAACCTTTTCATCCACAGAACTGCTATCTGAAAGAGAATCAGGAAAAGAAGGGATAATGTTAGATGGAGTACTTTTCAAGAAATCATTCAAACATATACATGAACAAAGCGTTACTATGTTACATTATTTAAAATCATAAATGAACAGAATTTCAAGGCTGAGCTCCAAGGAAAGAGAGTTAGTTGGTCATAATTTAAAGAGCTGAAAAATGTGCCAGAATGCTTGAAAAGTATCAAAGGGTGATTACAGGATTTATGAAAGACAATGTGTCATACGAAGAACAGAACACAGTTAAATAATCAGAAGTCCTAGGCTCCAGCTGAGGCTCTGCCACACAGTAAGCACACTGGGCAAACTACCCAGTTCTCTAGCGTCTAGACCTAACTCTGCAATAAGATCATGAATACTTTGCCTATTTGCATCCAAACATGGAGAGGGTCAATTTAGATCAGCATATGTAAAAGTAAACCTCAGATGACTATAGAAAAATGTCTTATTAAGGGATTATTTATTTATGGCCTCTCATATCGTAAATCGTAAGAGGTACAAGACTAATACAATCCATTTCGCAAATAAGAAAATTGATGCCTGAAGGGGTTAAGCGACTTGATTAGGATAAAAAAGCTAGTATATGGTAGAAGTGGGACACACACCCAGGGCTCCTGATACCCCATATGCTGCCCTTTAGGTCCACCATTTCATGAGTTGATCAAAACAGAGAGAGGTGGCTGGTGTACAGTTCTCTAGTACAATTTAGGATAAATCACAGGGCCAACATTTCTCAGTCTAAATTGCTCATGGGCCCAAGTAGATTAACAATAGACTAACTTTTTTTTTTAATTCAAGTCTAAGGGTCATCATGGCATGGTCCAAGTCTACCTTACATAGTAATATTGCTCTTAAACTTATTAATTCAGCTTTGCTTATTAGCATCTAGCTGAAGGGACTTTATGAATACAAGTTGGCAGACAGCTAGAGCTGTAGTGACCTGAGTCTAAACCCCTCATTTTTACAGGTGATCTCCAGAGAGATAAAGATTTGTCCTAGGTCATGTAGCTGAATGACGACCTTTACTGATAAAAATCTGAAATGTATTTGTTTTCTTGAATCATTAATTATAAATTAATGATAACTAAATAATTTTGTGCAATATTTAAGAGATTTTGCAACATCTCAAGGTTATATCTTTGAATATAAAACAAGGTATAATATAATATATAGAAGACCAATCTTATTTATGGCTATCAATATTTTAAAATTCTGAATAAAATACAGAAAATAAAATTCAGCTTTACATCAGAAGAATATATTATATCTGTAAACATTTTATCACAAGCATGATTTAAAATCATGGAATAAATAAATTTAATATGATATATCAACTGGTCAGACAATATGTATCTGCATTTCATTAGGTCCCAAAAAGTCATTTGATAAAATTTAAAAACCTAATTTTTTAAAAATGGGAAAACTCATTTCAATTCTAAAGTTTAATATGTCAAAATTTTTTTTTACTTTTAGAGCCATCAACTTAAGGGTGAAATATTAGGGCATCCCTATTATTAAAAGCAAAATAAAAATGTCCACTACCATAAACTTAACTTCTGGAAATTCTGACAATATATTAAAACATGAAATAGAAAAAAATATGTGTTAGAAGGCAGGATAAAAAGTCATTATTATTTTCAGGAATTATAATTTTAAACGCAGAAAACAAAAAATCATTTGGAAAAGTATTAAAGTTAACAAAATAGTTATCAAAGTGAATATATATAATCAACACATAAACAAAATAGCAATTGTAAGTTATTTTCCACATATTAGCAGTAACCAGCTTGGAAAACAATGACATGAGATCTGATTTCAAATATTCAATACCTGGCATTGTCTCCCATTGATAACTGGCTTCTATATTAACCATCCCACTGAATAAAGGTAATTCTAACAAAGCCATCAATTATTTTTCAGCTAAATTTGATCATACATTTCAATTTTTTCATTCACTGATTCATTCAATGTTTTGATCATTCATTAATTGAATACATATTTCTATTAATTATCAACAAACCCTTTTTGTTCGCTTCCACTCCTTTCTTGTCCACCTGCTATATTTCCCTCTTTGAAACCTATCTAAAATACAGATGTGATCGCATCTTTTCCCTTTTTATCACCCACCACTGCCCATACAAGAGAAAATGAAATCCTATCTACTGCAGTATCATAGCTCATCAATCCTCATTCACATCCTACGCTTTGGCCACAATTAAGTTCTTACTCTTTCATCTTTATGCCAAGTTCTTCGATACCTGTATGCCTTTGAATTTTTCAGTGTCCTTCCCCTAAACAAGTGCTCCCATTATTCATCTAGCCTGTCAGCTTCCAAAACTCAGTTGAAGTATAGCCCATCTTTCTGGAAACTTTTCACTGCTGGGGCTTGTGGCCTTTGTACATGAACACTGCACACTGTGTATTCCTCCTGTCTCATCCTTTGCCAGTTTCCTTATCTGCAATCCTCTTAGATACAAGCTCCTTGATAATTTTTTAACCTTCTTTTCTTAACTTCTACCACATTTATGAAATATAGTACATGGCCAATAAATATTTGCTGAACACTGAACAACTTTAAGCTACACCACTTTATGGAAGTACATAAAAATATGAATAAAAGAAACATTTCATCTTCCTATATTGGGAGGATAAAATCTTTTCTAACAGATTTGTAGATTTAACAGTTAAAATCCTAATGGCAACTTGTAATTTTAAATTACCCTAATTTCAAGTGTAACTGAGTTAATAAGCGAAAACATCTAAGACTTTTTAATATTAAAATTATGAGAGAGTCTATACAAAGATTAAAAATCTATAAAAGCTAAAATATTATGGTCCTGGCAAAATAATAGATTAATACTCAGATATCAGTGAAACATAAAATATAGCTAAGTAATAATCCCTTATACTTAAGAATTCAATAAGAAAGGATACATTCTTATTAAAGACAGAGAGAAGTAGTAGTCAAGTGATGTTTAGACCATAGGCTAAGTATCTGTAATATTCACTTGTATTCTCAGTTCACACATATCCCATGAAGTTCCAGATGTATTAAATAATTAAATATAAAAAAAAAAGAAAAGCAAGTAAAAGTAGAAAAGAATATCAATCCCATGGAATGAGGATAAATTATTAAACTTAGTGGTAAAAGAAGAAACCACAAAGAAAAGTTTAATTTGTTGTCCATTTAGTACTTTTGTATATAAAATCAATTAAAAAGAAAATATATTTCCTGAAAACATATCATTTATTATGTTCATTATACACAAAGAACTTACATGTCTATAAAAACTGACCCTAACGCCCCAATAAGTAAATGCTCAAGAATGTGATTAGATAATTCACAAATTAGAAGGCAACAATGGTAAATAAGCATGAAAAATGATCCAATTTATTAAATAAAATTAGCAAAGATTATAATATTTTGATATTAAATATAATTCCCAAGGCTGTTGATGATGTCATGAATCAGACACTGATGTATGGTTGATGACAGTGAAAATTATAATAATTTTAGAAACTTTTAGTGATATCTAACAATAGACTTTGTTTTGAGGACAAAATTCCTTTTTTTTTTAATTTCTAGGAATTCTAAGGAAACTATTTTTGTTATGGATTGAATTGTGCCCCCAAATTCATATGTGGAGAGCTTAACAACCCCCAGTACCTCAGTATGTAGCCTTCTTTGGAAATAGAGTTGTTGCAGATATAGTTAGATAAGATGAAGTCATAGTGGAGTAGGCTTGTCCTCAATCTAATATGACCACTGTCCTTATAAAAAGGAGACATGCACAGAAAAGGAAAACGTCATGCTAAAATTGGATTCAGGCTACCACAAGACAAGGAACTACCTCCTAGAAGCTAGGAGAGAGGCCTGGACAGGTCCTTCCACAACATTTTCAGAGGTAGTATTGTCCTGTCGACACACCTTGATCTCAGATTTCTGGCCTCCAGAACTGTGAGACAATAAATTCCTGTTGTTCTAGGTCACTAAGTTTGTGGTACTTTATTATAATCAGCCCTAGCAAACTAATATAATTGTAAATACTGAAAATAAATCCATGTGTAAAGATCTGTATTATTATTTACAATAAAAAATTGGAAAAAGATATACATGATCAAGTATAGAAGTACATAATATAGTACAAGTATAGAAGAACATAAGTTGAAAATTATGTTCTATGACCTTGATGCAATTATTAAACTAAATGGATTTAAAATATAAAATGTAAAAAATGTTTATGCTATATATATACATATATATATGCACACACACACACAGTTTGTGTGTGTGTGTATATATGTGTGTACACATACACACACATATATATACACACATACACACACACACATTATTCATGTTACATATATATGTAACCAATACACACATGCTTTCTCTCATGATGGCTTTGTTTCCTGATGAATGGCCTTTTATTCTACACACAGTTGTTTTGCTTCGTCAAATTCTGGTTAAACCTCTGTAATTACATGCTGAATACTTCCTATAATGCTGCTTCCAATGCTCCTTTTCTGAGATGTCATACCATCTCACAACAAGGTCATTTTGCAGTTCAGTGACTTAATTTTGTTAATATAGGACCATGGTACATCTATCTACTTTGTAGTGAAACATCCTCTATAAATGGGTTAAAGTGAACTTCTTTGATGGTATATTTTTAATGTATCAACTGGTAATTAATTTTTTAAAAAAAATTTAGAAAATATTTATTAGGTCAACAACACTATTCAACAATGCTTCATGGGAACCTAAAAAACTAAAACTCTAAGCTTAGAGAAATACACATAACATACGTGTGTCTCCTGAGTATTAAATCCATCAGAGATTCTTATGTAAGAATCCCTGAGAAAAAAATTGTGATTTAAAACATGTAACATCCTTAGCTCTCAGTTTTCCTTCATGTGAGTATATAAGTAAAATAGGTTTGACCAACATATATCTAAAGCTCCTTGCTCTAAA